ATTAACGAGGCTTTCGTATCCGTTACTCGAGATATTCCTTCCCTTAGTCCTATCCCTTTCCCCGATAGCCAATTACAAAGCGATTGTACTACAATTCCAACCGAGTACATTATTAGGAAAGAAGACATTTATTATAAATTATCTTCAATATCATCCTCGAAAGCGGCTGGTCCAGATGAAATACCGAATTGGGTCCTAAAAGATTATGCGCCCCTGCTGTCTTCCCCTGTTACTTCAATCTTCAACGCCTCCCTTCAACAGGCGTCTGTTCCCGGGGTATGGAAAAAAGCCGACGTCATCCCTGTACCTAAAAATAAGGTGCTGAGGGACATTACTAAAGACTTGCGTCCCATCTCGCTTACTGCCACTTTGTCAAAACCGTGTGAACGTTTTGTCGCAGACTGGCTGATGGAGTTGATTGGTGAGAAGATCGATAAACGGCAATTTGGATCTCTAAAAAACTCTTCAACAACACATGCATTATTGAGCCTTCTCCATCACTTATTAAATGAAACTGATGTGCCGAAAAACGCTGTGAGAATTTTTTTATTAGACTTCTCCAAAGCTTTTGATCATATTGATCATAACATCCTCCTCAGTAAATTATCTGATATGGACGTTCCATCATTAATAACAAACTGGATAAGAAGTTTTCTTACTCAACGAAGCCAACGGGTCAGAATGCCCCATTGTGTGTCAGAATGGCAAATCCTCAACGGTGGAGTACCCCAGGGAACTGTTTTAGGCCCAATCCTCTTCCTAATCATGATAAACGATCTCTTCGCTGATTGGAAAGACCGATGGAAATACGTTGACGACACCACCACTACCGAAACCGTTGGCCCAGATTGTAACAGCAACCTTCAAGAACTGGTTAATTACATCAATAATTGGACTACGAGTAATAATATGAAATTAAACATTGGAAAATGCAAAGAACTGGTTATTGATTTTGCAAAAAAGAAGCATTGCTTTCCCCCTTTAACAGTCGATAAAGTTAATATTGAACGAGAGAAATCTGCCCGTATCCTTGGCCTCACAGTCCAAGATAACATGAAGTGGAATGAACATATAAATAACATAGTTAAAAAAGCTAGCAAGAGGCTCTATATGCTAAGACTGCTAAAAAGGTCCAACGCGTGTATTGACACGTTAATTACTGTATATACTACCATTATTAGGCCTGTTTTAGAGTACGCATGCCAGGTCTGGCATTACAATATCCAACAATATTTATGTGACGATATTGAGAAAATACAAAAACGCGCGTTGAGAATAATCCTCCCATCGCAAAAGTACGACGAAGCGCTGATCACGACTAACATCACGTCACTGAGAGATCGACGAGAAAAATTATGCGAACATTTCTTTGAGAAGAATATTGACAATGAAAATCTCAAAGATCTTTACCACAAACAGTTTTATCTGGATATGATCTAAGACCGATATGTAAATATCATAATTATGTTTGCAGAACCGAACGTTTTAAGAATTCGTTTTTACCTCAAAGTATATTAAAGATTAACAGTAAATAAGTTTTTAGAAATGTAAATAATCTTAAATATGTAATTATTATGTAATTTTAACTTATCCTCTTAATTTATGTAATACTGGTGTAATTTAACCCTTTTGGGTTACAAAGTCAGTAGTCATTAAATCAATTCAATTCAATTCAAAACGGAGCTTTGATTAACTGATTCACCATTTATATTAGTGAACTGTTAAACTATCGTGATTTATACAATTTTTGGATATTTACAAGACGATCCCCTATCCACCGACCCGAGGTTAACGCCGAGTCGGCGTCTTGTTAGGTAAGTAAACCGCATTTGATCGTGTCAACATGTAAATTTGCGCTACAGAAATGTTAATCTTAAATCTTAATTAAATATCTCTGCTAAGAATATAAATTTGCGTATACATATGTTAAAAGAGTGACATTATTCGTCGCTACCGCTGTTGTTGTTGTCGTTATCGTTGCTGTTATAGTTGCTGTTGTTGTTGCCGTTGCAGTTATAGCTGCTGTTGTTGTTGCTGTTGTTGTTATAGTTGCTGTTGTTGTTGCTGTTGACGTTGCTGTTGTTGGTAGTGTTGTTGTTGCTGTCGTCGTTGTACGTAATTGTGTTCTCATAAATTATATAAATTATTTAGGATTTATAGACAGTGTAATAACGATATTGGAAATTTACGTGTCAATAAAGTCATCGTATAAGTGGTTACACAGTATATCTAAATAAATCGGTTTTTACAGACCTCCATATTCCAAGATGGTAATTCATCGTGAAGTTCAATGCATTCTTGATTGTCATCAAGACAAACTGACGGATTTGTAATACACTGATTTATGCCAAGAGAGCATTCCTTTTTTTGTGGTGGGCACGTGCACGAAACTTCATTGTTCTTTGCTGTACAAGTGGCTTGCGAGTCACGGCAGACATTGGGCACAGCGCAGTAATCGACAAAATACTGACATCTACAAGGTAAATAAAGAACAGCTTTTTTATCAAGTGTGAGCTTGCCCGATAAACGAGACAGCACACTGAGCTAATCTTCATGGTTCCCATGTTTTCCAAAGGAAAGTAAACCGGAAAACATTGTTTTCTAGTTATGCATGTTTTCGAAAGGAAGACAAACCAGGAAACATTGTTCTTAGCTATATGCTTCCCGAAGGCGCATGGGAACTGAACCAGGAAACAATGTTTCCTAGCCGTGTTTCCCAACAGAAGACTAACCAGGAAGCATTGTTTTTAGCCATGTTTTGGAAGGGTGGCAAACCGAGATATACATGATTGTTTCATCTTTCCGAATTTGGTGGAAACATTTTGTTTTGCTAAAGACAACATTTGAAGTTTTCGGCCAGCTGTATATACATATATACATATATATATACATATATATATATATATATATACAATGAGATAATTAAAATCAAAATAGTAAATCCGGATTTTCCCATTCCTTAATTCCTTATTTAAAATATCAATATTTACAAGTCATAAAATTTAATGATCTGTCAGTGTTTATAGAATTTAAACAGTTCCGGCGGTTCTCTAAAATATCTTAAGTTATTTTCGTGATTATATTACTAGTACGACTATAGTTGAACACCTGTATTCTAAAAGCTCACTCACAGTCAATGAGTGGAGGTTCAATCTGAGCTTCTCTTAGTGTCAATGCTGTTTTTGAATAGCTGGAGGGTGAGTAGTCGCATAGGCCATAGTAAGGTATATGACACTAGCCCTCCAGCTATTCAAAAACAGCAATGACACTCGAGAGAAGCTCAGATTGAACTTCCACTCGTTGAGTGTGAGTGAGCTTTTAGAGTACGGGCTCTTCGTATATGATGAACCTGCAGGATTGATTATTTTCAGGGCACACTTTTGGACCCTTTCTATTTTCACACTTAGTTCTCAAATAGTCCGGGATTCCAGACCAAACAGGGGCAGCTCTTCGAGGATTGGTCTAACTATATAGACAGCATACCATCACACATTGTGGCCATCACAATTTGTAGGCTGTAGACAATTATAAATGAGTCTGCATTTATACAAACCTACCGACAGTGACTTTTCTCCAAATTTTTCACGCCGTCCGGTGCATCGCATACACAGCGCGTGCCTTTTTCACCACAAGTAAACTGTCCTTCACCCGTGCGTTCTATCGGCATACATGTTGGATCTCCGATATCGATAGCCACAACTCGCTTGTATAGGCCATGATTAGACAGCAGTTCTGGCTTGCAGCGAAGGTTGGGACTGATTGTGAAGGATGATGTCAAGGAGTAGCGAAGATGCGTTGCAGAACGTAGTTCACAATCTATAGAAATACATAGTCATAGAAATATGCAAACAGGCTTTATTCAAACAGAGCTACAAATACTGGTACATTGGATACAAAACGTATTAAATTCACAGAAAGACTAGATTAGAATTATATTAGAATTTTATACTAGTTATGTATAGAATTAATAGTTATATATATCATGAAAATTAGAATTACTAGTTATATAGCATGGAAGTAGCTAATTAGCTTTTCTCACGAAGAAAGCTTTCGTGAAAGATTCTAGACAATACAAACAGCGTGAAAAGCGACTTTTAAAAGTTGTAACTGTAAATTTACCATTGTACAAACAACCACAATCCTAAAAAGTTGTATTTCGTGCTGCGGAGACTCTCAAACGTGGGAGAGGCAGTGCCCCCAAAATGGCGGGAAAATCGGCCGTGAGAAAGGCTAATAAGTATTTATCACTTATTTACTGAGACCGAGGGAAACAGTGTGTTTTGTGGACCCGAGGGTCCACAAAACACACTGCTTTCCCGAGGTCTCAGTAAATAAGTGTTTTATTATATATCAATAGTCAAAGAAACAACAAATTAAAGAACAAATGAACGTAAATACATGAAATATTTTATTGTTAAAACGTTATCGGGTCCACAAAACACACTGTTTCCCTCGGTCTCAGTAAATAAGTGATAAATACCTGGCTACCAATGGCCCCATGGATTTGTCTTACATTGCATACAATAACATTCATAAACATGTCATGGTTATTAAATGAACGAAACGAGTGACTGATCTATTTGGTTAAGCTATAAACCTTGTATTATTGCACCGCATCAATAGTGCCGTTCATTTCCGACCTCGTTTTAAATCCGACGATTAGTGCCGTTCATTTCCGACCTCGTTTTTTTGACAAATACTTTTATCGTATGGAACATTGCTATATATCGACCAGTTTCAACAGGTAATCCATGAGCTGAGATTTTGAGCTTTGTAACAGCTTGACGATGCTTAACAGGAGCCCAGAAAATCCGCAAAATATTTTGCTCCCCCTCAGAAAGTTTTCCCACCCCGCCAGCCCGCCTAGAGAAATTTGCGCTTCCCCCAGAAATTTAAATGCTCGTTCGATAGTATATGATCGGTGGCCAGAAGCTAGGTATAGGTTCGTGAAACCGGAAACCCAGGGTTTTTTACCTTGTTAGAAAAAACTGGTTACAATATATCACGGGTGCGAATGTTTTAGACAAAAGCAAACAAGTATTCGATATTCTGAGTGTGCATCCACACCATAGATATCTTATATACACTAGATAGTGCATCTAATTATTTTGCAATTCAAAAATTGAAGCCGTGATTGCAGTCTCCGGTCGTTCCCATCAAATGAGAGAAGATTCGTATATTTCATATTTCTTAATTAAACAGGGAACTTAAATATTAAGTTAACCCTATTCCAAATACATTTTTAAAGTATTCGAATGATGAAAGTTATTGTTGTGAACGACCAACATGGCCGCCATCTATTCAAATGAGGGTAACCGCTGGAATATTCTTGGCTTCAGTTTTACTAAAAGAGATGCGCTATCTAGTGTATATAAGATATCTATGATCCACACCGGGAAAGCTGAAAAGTTTGCCTGACGGTGGGAATCGAAACGGTGGGAATCGAAACCGCGACCTTTGGGATATCCTACACTCAGAGTAACATCACAAACATCAAACAAAACGAAACTAAAAACACACAAACCTGCGACGGACGACTTGATCAGGTCACCCATACGACAATCCTTCTTGAACGGATCGCATGCCGACTTGCGTGGCAGCAGAAAACGATTATTAGCAGCAAGGCATTGCAATTGAGACGGATTTGCTGTACAAGAAGTGGAGAAAACACACACAAAACGATACAAGAAAACTAAGATATATAATGCTTTCATTTCACGCACTTTGATTAATATTATACTTAATTATGATGTAACTAATTGGCGCGCGTTGGTTGAGCGCGTGCGCTATTCGATTCTGTGGTCATAAACTCTATAAAAACCGGAACGGTAACTCAGGCTGTGTTTTTGAAGCCAAGTCCTGCGCAGAAATTCACTATATTCAGTACGAAATATCGGCGTCATTAGAATTTTCGTAATTTTTTGGCCGACTATATTTTAAGTCCGGATTTACCATGCTCATGGCCCCGAGAAACTAGAGTAAATGGCTTTCGGAATAAGCAAAATTTAGAAACACTTCATCATAAAAAGCGAAGTCATTCGACGAGTAAAAAAACAAGTTCAGAAAAAACACCGCGGAGAAACACCAGCAAAACGTTTGCTTTGGTTGACTATCTATGAGGGATATGAACTGATGTGGACTGCAGTTGCATCATTTTAGTTTTTAGCTTTTAAGTGGGGGTATTTACCATTAAATTGAGCCATTTATGTGCAAAAATTGAAAACTTTTCCACCGGAAAACGTTTGATCGAGTGCTTCGGTTTCATGCTGTAGTATAACACTGAACTATAGGTAAAACAATGTAGACAGAATACACCTTACCGGAAAGTAGTCGGCGTTCGCTGTACAGGCTTCTTAATTTTAAAAACGTTTGTCAACTCACTTTTTGCTTCACTGCAGTGCTCATTAAGCTGTCACCTGTTGTGCCCATTGATATTCTTCTCAATGCGACTCCAACCCAGTCCTCATGTGAAAAGAGTAAAAAGTCAACGCCCTGCCGAAAATCGTGGGTTTTCTCCGGGTATTCCGGTTTCCTCCCACAGGGAAAGTTGACAGGGTGAGTTAAACACGTAGGGTAAGGGGCAGATCATTAATGAGGTGTGGATTAGCGGCCGCTTGAAGCGCCATTTGTAAGCTCACAATCTACCTCGGTCTGCTCACGGTTAATAGAACTAGATGGTTAGGCTAGCCGGCAAACTTCAAAGGGAGCGGCAAATTATGTCGAGAACCACTTTTATTTGTGTCACGTGACGAGGAAAGGGGGTGCTTTGTGATGAGTGATTAGGAAAACATATGGGCGAGAACATAATATGCCAACAAAAGATCATATTTCAAAACGCTATAGGGCTTCTGAGATCAAGGTGGAAATTGAAACAGAAAGCGAACAAACATACGAACCTATTTTGAACGTTGGAGATGAAAATATCGAAGAAAGCGAGCGTCGTGAACAGTTTATGATCGAGGCATAAGAGGACGAAGGGCGAAGACATTTATCGCAACTAGACGATGCAACCGCAGAGGATTTATACAACTTTGATGTGTCTGTTGCTCTAACGGAAATACAGTTAGACGAAACAGACGCTGAATTCACCGAAGCTATACAAGAAATTGATGGCGAGAGGGTTTTTCCTTTTAGTCAGTGAGAGATAGTGTGCAAGTCTATAAAGTAAAGGGAGAGACAAAACTCGTGCTGCGTTGACTATTAGAGGACGTGGTTTGATTATATTACATCGATTCAGGTCAGTTTGGCTACTGTTTCCTCTACTGATGCTTTGTTCGATGCTTTGCATGGCCACTTTACACAACATTCTGTCCAAGGAACAATCAAGATAAACTTTTAGAATGTTTTTATATGGCTTGATTCCTCGTTTGTGTGAGCAGCTATAAAATTGTGAGAACTATAAAGTAGCAAATATATTCCTGAGCGTATTTGATCGGATTTTTATAAAACACTACACCAGCAAAATGTCGGCATTGTTGGAAAATGCTGTGATTTTTCGTGAAGTTCAACCCTCGAACTCAGCACAGAAACTGTACGGAAAATATAGTTAAACTTTATTTAACAGTCGGAGCATTTTCCTACACCAGAGACTTTATTACTATTAAAGATGCGGCATGTAGAGTCCAATCTGTGCATGTGTACAAAGGAGCTCTCTTTTTATTTACAAACAGTTTATTTAGGTTTTTATTTCACTTTATGTTCTTGCAAAGCTTGATTGTTGTCTCTTGATAATTTCTAGAATCATGAAAATATAACTAGTTGTGGAATAAAATTCAATATTTTGGATACCGAAATGTAAACAAAGCCTTTGTTTACATACGGACTGTACCGCATCTTTAAAATATAGCATTAATTAATGAAAGGCAGTCAAAGAAAAGGCATTGAGTGATTGAGAAAGGGGATGCGATAACATATAAAACTTGATAAACTTCTTAATTGTTAAAGATTGTCAGAAGTTCAGAACACTGTTTCCATAATTCAATAATTTTATCATATATTATACAATAAATTATATTGTTTTTAATTAAACCTTATTGGCTGGTCGAAATAGAAGTGATTTGATTATGGTAATCTGCCACCATTCAGTACAGCCCTGCCCCACAGTAGGCGGATCACACCACACTAATGCACTTGTCATCGGCTTCCCCGAGGGGTTGACCCCCGGGCTAACCACGGGGATTGTCCAAGGTGGGGATGCAATCTTAGTGAATTTCCCGGGGGGTGGAGGAACATAAGAGATCAAAGTCCCGTGGTCACTTCCTTACCTGTCGTGAATCCACCCCCCCCCCCACCACTCCAGCAACTTTTAAGCCAGTAAAAAGGCCTATTTAAATCTGATGATACACATAATCATTCAATAATCCTAGAAATACAAGCATGCAACAACCTCTCGCCCACATTTTCCAAAATTGTTTCAACATGAAGTACTTTAATAACGCCTACACGGACGGCAGGCTCGCTTTGCCGCGTCATATTAGCCAGCAACCAAATTCACCAACCTCGTCCAACGAGGTTGGTTAGCCAGCTATGGCAACACGATAATTGTTTTCTTAGTTTTTTGTTCAAAACGGCAAAAATAAATCAAAGTTTTACACTTTTACCCGAGAACTATCGATTTCTAACATATATAAAGTAGGTATGTTATTTTATTTTGTATGGGCTTTTTTATAATGCAAAATTCAACACGAAACGCTTCGAAAAAGTTTTAAATGTTAATTGAAATTAACTGCTTTTTGCCGATAAACTCTTCAACTTTAATTGCGACCAGCGAGCGAGCACCAGCGAGCGAGCTGGGAGCATCCTAATCTGTGCGTAGAAAATTTAAATATACCGCTGAGTTCGGATTAGCCCCGGCTCAAAATGCACCGATTCACCTCGGCTTGCATTCCATATTTGGAACATATTCCATATTTGGAAGACCGCATGAAACGGTATTTCCGCCGCTGTTATGTCGAGCACGTAACTATTTGTTATGTGTTGTAGCAAGTGACGTAATTGGATACCAATTAGTCAAGTTAATATTTTGATAAATTTATCTAAATTGGATATTCAATGTTAATGGGCCGACTTTTATTATATAATGAACAATATTGGCCCATATATTATCGCCACTCCTTTGCATAAACTTGAAAAGTTGTTACTGTTTTTATTTTGAATATATCAATAGACAATCATCCTCGGTCCCAGGGCGGCAACGCAGTATCAGCCGTGAGGCCCTGGGACCGAGGATGATAGACAATATGAAATAAAGTACCTTGTCATGTGCATGTTTATTTGACGCAAATCGTTATATAAAAAATAAAAAAAACCCGACCGACCGACTTTTGGCAAAAGTAAAGGGTGATCACCAACTATCTGGCCAAAACAGCGTGAGCCGGCGCGTTGTCATTAGTGACTAAAGTCTCCAGGTCGCATTTTTTAACTTTGGTTACGCCTAGTATTACTCGTACTTTGTAATGAAATAAACTTAAATCCTACAGGTAGCTCTCGAAAATAATTTTCTTTTTTCTTCTAAAAAATATTAAAACAAGTTAACTTTCACATAGTCATAGAATGAAAAGGAAAGCTGTACATGTTCAAGGCTAGCCTGCATGGCAGGCGGTCATTCTCGTACCCAGGGCGTTGACAGCGCGTAAGAAGGGCTCTGGGTACGAGAATGGGCAGGCGGTTTTAGGGACCGCCTGTCATGCAGGCTAGTTCAAGGCCTTCAGACGAAAAGTCCGAAAACAGGACAACAAAGTCATACATAAACTGTAAAAACAAACATACCCAGGCCTGTACTTCAAGATTTCTCATACTCTCTTTAAAATTTGAAAAAGGTGATTTATGACTTACTGTGTAAAAAGTTTTCGGTCATCATGTTTTTTTAATATTTGCTTCCTTCACTCCTAGCAAACAGCTATATTTTTTAGATCAGTGAGATGACGACCCATGCATAGCCGTGCGCCCGTGATCACTTTAGACTTTGCTGTACCCTCGCCACAGGCTTCGCGCATGGATGTATGATTTTAAGTTTAACCCAAAAACTTTAACCCGATTTTTAAAAATTATCTTTTTGATTTCATCTTGCAATTCCACACTAGTGATTTCCGCCATCTTGCCAAATTAAAGAAATGAAGCTATCCCGCATCGCAATTCCTTAATTTTCGACATATTTAGAAAATATTTCCTTTAAAAAATTTCCCCGTCATATTCCCGTGGGTAAAATTCAAAAAAAGCAATTCCCCCACCCTCTTTTTAAGTGGTAGAACAAAGTGTTATGATTTTCCCGACTCTGGGGAAGAATTTTGTTGCAATCTACGTGTATTCTCCCACATCATCCCGTGGTCAGCCCGGGGGTCGACCCCTCGGGGAAGCCGATGACAAGTGCATAAGGGGACCATTACATGGAGCACTCAACCATGTTTACATAACTGGGTTGAATATTTTGCGATTCCATGGACAATATCAACCCCAGGGTTGAAATGCTATAGATTCCCGGAAGTGAAAACAAAAACCAGCCTCATCAAATGCTTGAGTAACTCATGAATAATTTCAGCCCTGGGTTAAAATGATTACATGATAAAATTTTCAACCCAAGGCAAAGTCCAACCTGGGGTTGAAATTTAACTCTGCTAGCTGAAGCGGGGTTGAACTTGGCCCTGAATTGAAAATTTTGAAATCATGCATTTGATTTTGATAGCATTTTGTATTACAGACAAGGGCAAGGGTTCAGCCCAGGCCTCATAGGTCCCAACTGTAGGCCTGTAGGCCCCAACTGTAGATCTGTAGGAGACAACCCCAGGGTTGAAAATGCTCCATGTAATCAGGCCCTAATTAACCCATAAAACTTTGATGTACCCTGATTTGACTTTATTTCTGTTGAATACCAGATAATATAATATCATGGCCTTTAATTCACCAATCTTGGTATGAAAATCGAGTGACCACAAAAAATATTTACATGCAATATACCACTTTTGGAACAAAACAAGCATAGACCATTTTCATATGATAGTGAAAAACTTAAAGATTTTTTTTCATTTTAAATTGCTTATTGAGTCTTCGACCTCCTAGGTTATCTTGAATTTCTTCTACTTTCCATATTTGCATATTATCTAAATCTGCCATCAGTTTTAATTTCAATACTGGACACACCAGCCCCTTGGCTTGGGAACTTCGTGTTTATTGTAGGTAAATTTTCAGTAGTACGCTACCAGTTATAAAATCTTTCGTTTGGGGACTACAGAAGATAGATATTTAATAGACATGGGATATGTAAATATGCAAATACAATGCCCTCTTTGTTTACATCTGATCACACAAGCGCATGCATAAAATGCAAAATTTACAATGGCTTCAAATGACGCTCACAAAGGAAAATCTTATTTGTTTCTGAAGATCTACCGTCTTTTCTCTAGTCCTTTAAAACAATTCGAAGCCATTCTTCGCGAGCATTTCTCTTCTTGTTCAACATCGGCTGTAGTCTCCTACGCAGACTTCATCGGCTGCGCCAACAACAGGGATTTTAAAAATTGCAAATTCACGCGTTCTGCTGGTCGGACAGCCATACAAAGCACAATTAGAGCCAACCATACTGTTCAATATTACTTCAAACGTTTAACCGTATCCTGACATATAAAACAACGGCAAAAATACAATTATCCAACGCGGTGTATAAACAAAGCCTTCGTCCCCTCGATCATAAACTGTTCACGACGCTCGCTTTCTTCGATATTTTCATCTCCAACGTTCAAAATAGGTTCGTATTTTGTTCGCTTTTGTTTCAATTTCCATCTTGATCTCAGAAGCCCTCTAGCGCTTTGAAATATATCTTTTGTTGATATTATGTTCTCACTCATATGTTTTCCTAATCACTCATCACAAAGCACCCCCTTTCCTCGTCACGTGACCAAAAATAAAAATGAACAATAACATATTTGTCACGTGGTCCAGCTAGCCTAACCATCTAGTTCTATTAACCGTGGTCTGCTTCACGCCAGTTCCGGCTCTAATGTAACCAGTCATTGGAAAACTCTGATAGGGAGTGTGCTGTGCTATATCTGTAACTGTATATTGCCAGTGTTACATACAAGCATCTTTCAAAGTTTTTTTTCTGAATACCATAATACTTATAAAATTAGTCAAGGTTATATAATTCAATGTGGTACAGTTCAAAGGTAGATTGTGAAATATTATACCATTAATAAATTCAGTTCCGAAAGTTTAGGCTTTTACGAACTATACTTGATCAATTTCAAGCACGCTTTCTGAGGGACTATTGGGACTACATAGAGAATCTCCTTATATGAAAGTGATGTTTCTCTCTCTAGCAATAGCTACTGGACCACTTGGATGAGATTTAATCCGAGCCAAACCTCCACCGTGAATCAAATAAAACATCGAAGTCTCCAGTTGACCTGTTTCAGAGTAACGATGGAGGAAATAGGAATCACTGTCTCTGACATTGGTTAAGACAATTATTCCACGGATCACGTGACCTGCTGGTAATTCTATTTTCAACTTTAGATTTCCCTCCTCTGTGTATATATGAACAGCGTCGCCAAAATATGATGTCAACATGATTTCATTATTGTCTGAAACACTCATGTACCGTAGGATAGAAATCTCATGTTCAAACTTGTATTTGAACTGCCCAGTGTGGTCACAGATGTACACATGGTCGTCTTCTAACACCATTGGTGTCATTACAATGTTATTGTTTTTGTTTATAGCTAATCTCAGATGTGTGTCGTGTTTTGGAAGAAAATTCAATTCGCTTTTGTGTTTTACACGATTGCAATGTTCATCCAAAATATATAATACTGCATGGCTATCCACATTGCCATTTTGTGAGGTTGTTTCACAATATAGTACAACATACACATTATTTTCTTGATCAAGAGCGAGACCTAGAATTTCTTGTTTCATAACCTCGCCTTCTTCATCCTCTCTGCTCGGAACTGGAAATTGATTAACCACTTTTCTTTCGCCTGTTCTGGAGATGAACTCAATGTCATTATTATGCGATATAACTATCTCGCCCCGACTGTTTACAGCAGCATATAAATACACTTCGATATCTCTATCGAGGCTCATTTCATTGGGAGATTGGATCAATTCTTCGCCCCAAGACTTTGTTGTCGAAACATCCTGCCAATTCCATATTGGGTTAAAACTGCGGTCAGAGAGTTGAATTGTTGGCCAGGCGAGAGCCGAACAATACTTGCTACTGAATTTCGAAACAAATTGATATAAAACGTAGTTGATCATCATGACAGATTTGACATTCTCAACTTGTTCAGCCTTACCGAAGATGGATTTAACTCCGCCACCGAGATACACTGAGAATATCTCGCGAACGGCGGGTAAATCATGAAGCTTTTCTAAAAACAACAGGCATGAAGTAGCCGCTGTGTCGGGATTCTCGAGACATTCCAGTATCTCCGAAACGATACGGAGTTTCGCCGCGAAGATTCGGTCTTGAATATTCAATGCTTTGTTGCAAAAAGCATCGGTTGCTCTCTTACGGGCATCTTTAAATCGTTCTTTCGCAGATTCAAACTCGCTTGACGCCGCGATCTTTAGCTGTCCCATGACGTGAGAAAGTTCTAAGGCTTTGTTCATGACATTTGCTGATTCATCACCGCTCGGCATTCTAGACGTTTCACCACGATCATCTTGAGTTTCGCTTTGCATAGCTTTCTGCTCGTGTTTCGACTTATCCAGAGAAACAATCAGTAACTGTACTCCGTCCTGTAGAAAATTGCAGCTGACGAGCAGATCTTTGCGTGCGAGACCGTCAATTTTGGTTTTGACATCGTCGAGTTCTCGCACAACTATTTCACGAATTCTTTCATCTGTAATATCACCGTCCTTCAGCTTTTTAGCAATCGCATCTTGGGCTTTCTTCCACAATAATCCCACAGTGGAACTGAATATACTTGTGACAATCGAAGACATGGTATTTAGACTTTAATATTAGTGCTTAAATAAGGTAGGCGCTTGATAATAAGCTCTCGTCTTGGTTGATTAATTTTAAGGACACTGCCACGTAAGCAAATTTGCATATTTTCAGAACAGGTGCTGCCTCGTACCCAGGCGCTTACATGAAGTATTCAGGTAGGCATCCGACGCGCGAAGGGGCTGTTGGGAAGGGTGCGTGCTGGGACTCTTCCCATCAGCCCCTTCGCCATCTCTCCCCACTACAATACTTCATGTAAACACGTCATATGGGCATCACTGTTTTTTTACAAAGAGACGCCTGGGTACGAGGCAGGAACAGGTGGGAAACCGGACACAGTACTAAAAAGCGGTGCCCGCCTACAAATAAAACTTCCGGCGTTTCCGCCTACATGTATACGATTGTACGTACAAGTAAAGTTATATTTAGCACGCTACATTCTCCTGTCGTCCGCCAGTTGGTCCTTTCAAAATAAAATATTTTGGGCTCAAAATGAAGAGAAAAGTGAGACGAATATACTGGTAGACGGCAGAAAAGAGATAACCAACGATACCAAAGTTGTTAAGGATCAAACGTGCTGCATTTTTAATTGGTTTAATTTAATAATTTTGAAAGATTTGTCAACAAACAATTTCGCTTCTTAAAACTGCACTTTAAAGTTTAAAACCTTAAAAATAGACGAATTCAAAACAGACGAACCCACTGGTATACGACCACCGAAAACGAAAAAACCAACGATTCCGAACTTATCAAGGATCAAACGGACTGCATTTTTAATTAGTTTTTTAAATAATTTTGAGCGATTTGTCAACAATACAATTTTGCTTATTGAAACTGCATTTTTAAAACCTTCAAAATAAAACATTTTGGCCTCAAATTATTATCAAAATGAAGAGAAAAGTGAGACGAATCCACTGGTAGACGGCCGAAAACGAGAAAGCCAACGATATCAACGCCAACCATATCAAGGATCAAACGTACTGCATTTTTAATTAGTTTAATAATTTTGAGCGATTTATCAACAATACAATTTCGCCTGACTATTAAATGCCATAAATCGGTAAAATACTGTTGTTTAGTAAATACATTTGACGTAAATACATTTGACATCCCTAAGTAGGCCTACAATTTCTTACACTGAATCAAACGGTGATATTTGTGTCCTTATTGACGCATAAAACCAGAGATTAGGCGCAGCAAAAAGTCAATCGTGCGAGTCCAAGATTAATTGGAAAGAAAACTTTCCTCGAAAAAAGGAATTCGGAAAACGTGAAAGGAGTTGAGCGGCTTGTCTTTCAAAGGCCATAAATCGCAAGAATAGAAATCAATTTTCCATCCGTAAATACAACTTTTCACGCGGATTCGAACGGTGGCATTTTTGTCCTTGTTTGACGCATAAAACCAGAGATAAAGCCCAGCAAATAGTGGATCTTGAGAGTACAAGATTAATAATAATTAATAAATTCCGAGCACGTGCAAGGAATTTTTAGTAGGCGATTAAGGAAACGTATTTATGCGAACAAACTAACAAACGGACAAACTCACAGGCAGAATAAAATGCAGTGCCAAACTTGGCACACGGTATATTTACAGAAATAAATCTGAGAGGAAGCGACTAATGCTCAATTCAACGATCCAGACGAAACTAATTGGCATGTTGAGCCGATGCTCTGAACCACCAAATTCCATCCAGTCTCTCTCTAGAACAAACACAAATAATTGCCTGCGGCCAAACCTGATAAATTTTCGGCAATATCGTTCGAACCGTCGCCCTCCGGACTGGCTCAAACATTTGGACCTAGTCAACCAAATAACCAGAACCAGTACGTAATACCTGACTTGGCATATACATATTTTGGTCCAATTTCTAATCGTTTGAATAATGAGTCTGAAACCATCCCGCAGGGTGCGATAATTCGCGTACCAACGTACCGGAGGTACGCCAAATTTATGGTCTGGTACTTCTTTATTTTTAGGCAAGTACCAGGTAGGTACGCGGAAATTTGCTATTCGCGTACTTACGTTGTCCTTCTAGCAATAACTAGCAAACCTGCCAAAGTATTCAAAACCGTGAAGAACTTTAGCTGTACATGTAAATTTCACGCATCCGACATATTTTGGGATGAAAAAAGCTAAAAGGTTATCTTTGCGCTTGATCAAAAGATTTATCGTCATTGTCCGACTGAAAAAAATCGCTCGGGTGAGCGATTTTAAAATCGTTAACGCCGATAACTTTATCGTTTTCGTTGTAGTGTGGACACCAACATAATTTTTTACCAATCATCGCGTGTTTACAAGTTATCATTATCGTTGTTACCAAGGTCTAAAAAAATACCTGTGGTTCCGGTTCCCCGACCGACCCTATTTTTTTCTGCCCACCCTATTATTTTTTTCAACACGATTGACCGTGCGACCCTATTTTCTCCAGGTGGTTGCGGGTTGCTCGTACAGCGTGCCAAAGTGGCGTCTGTTGTCACAATAATTATTGAACCAAATTGCCTAAATTCGTCCGTAGGAAATACACATCTCTAGTTAATATTGATGTCGGGACTCCACTGAAAATCGCCCAGCAAAAAACCGCCAAAACCATGAAATTTTTATCTCCGACTTACCTACGCTAATGAAACCGGAACCACAGGTTTTTTTAGGCCCAATGAGGAAAACTACGCTGTATGTAGCTGAGGTCAGACTGTTAGTACCCTCGGTAAATCCACTGTAAATGAGCGATGGCATTCGAGACACAATGTCGACGCTTTGAAAACTGTTATATTATGTTGTACAAATACCATAATTAAAGATTCATTTGTACAAAATTGCCCATACATTTTTTGCTTTTGGACCAGTAAACTATACGTAGGTATAAAAACGCATGACTCCGAAGTAGTCTTAGGTACGTCTTGACTCTCAAGTCTGTACCAGATCAGGTACGCGGCAAAAGTTGTTGGAGTACCAGTCAGGTACGTCTAAAAATACTGAATTATCGCACCCTGCCATCCCGGTTAGAATAACCAACCGTCGACTAGTACAGAGTCTACTAACCAAAAACTCAGTCGTAACTTAATACTTATTTCAATAAGGAAAAACAATATATGTGAATTATCTATTGCCTACTCAGTTCCATCTATACTCTTAACCAATTAACGCATGTCATGTAACGAACAAAATAACTGAACTCTCTGGACACGAACAAGTAAGTGCTTTGTACCAAAAAGTGTTTTGTTTTGGTTTGTTTTTGCCTAGTTTATGCATTTTGATTTTTGACGTGTAGCTAATATATTTGTTCATCTTTGTTTATTAATAAATGTCAAATTCCAATTTGATTGTCTCGAATACTTTTATGCAAATTATTAATAAGTATTAGCATGGTTTCTCGTGCAATTTGGATAACCATGCACTCGTGAGTTTTTCAAAGACCTCAAATAGCACTCGCTATTTTGAGGTCTTTGAAAAACTCACTCGTGCATGTTATATCCAAATTGCACTCGAAACCATGCTATTACCTATACTAATAAATCCAGTTCCTGTGGTTTAGGTTCTCAAACTAGATTAAAATATAATGTACTTTTATCGAACTAAAATATACTTCATCAGCTGAAAACGCGTTTTCTGAGGGACTACATAGAAAATTTCCTTATATATCGATTATGTTTCCGCCCTTGCTAACAATAGCAACTGGACCACTTGGATGAGATGTAATCTGAGATAAACCTCCACTGTAATTAAAACAGAACATTGAGGTCTCCAGTTGACCTGTTTCAGAGTAACGATGGAGGAAACAGGAACTGCTGCCTCTGCCTCTGGTTAAGACAATTATTTTACGAATGACAAAGTGAAATGCCGTTCCGTGGACCATGTGACCTGCTGGTAGTTCTATTTCCAACTTTCGATTTCCTTCTTCTGTGTATATTTCAACGATAATAAATGATGCCAACATGATTTCATTATTGTCTGAAACACTCATGTAGCATAGCGCAGTAATTTCATGTTCAAATTTGTATCTTAACTGCCCAGTGTGGTCACAGACGTACACATGATGGTAGTGGGACATGATTGGCGCCATTACAATGTTATTGTCTTTGTTTATAGCTAATCTCAGATGTGTCTTGTGTTTTGGAAGAAAAGTCAATTCGGTTTTGTGTTTTACACGATTGCAATGTTTATCCAATATATATAATACTGCATGGCCATCCACATTGCCATTTTGTGTAGTCGTTTCACCGTATAGTACAACATACACATTATTTTCTTGATCAAGAGCGAGACCTATAATTTCTTGTTTGATAACCTCCCATTCGTTATTCTCTGTGCTCAGAACGGAAAATTGATATGCCACTTTGCTTTCACCTGTTCGGGAGATGATCTCAATGTCATTATCATACCATATAACTATCTCACCCCGACTGTTTACAGCAGAATTAAACGGAAAGAAATCTCTATCGAGGTTCACTTCATTGGGTGGGTAGATCGGCAATTCTTCTCCCCAAGACGTTGTTGTCGAAACGTCCTGCCAATTGCATACTGGGTTGAAACTGCGATCAGAGAGTTGAATTGTTGGCCAGGCGAGCACTGAACAATACTTGCTGCTGAATTTCAAAACAAATTGATATAAAACATAGTTGATCATCATGACAGATTTAACATTTTCAACTCGTCCACCTTTACTGAAGATGGACTTAACTCCACCACCGAGATACACCGAGAATATCTCGCGAACGGCAGGTAAATCATGAAGCTTTTCTAAAAACAACAGGCACGAAGTAACCGCTGTGTCGGGATTGTCGAGACATTCCAGTATCTCTGAAACGACACGGAGTTTGCTGCGAAGATTCGGTCGTGAATATTCAATGCTTCATTACAAAACGCATGGGTTGCTTCCTTACGGGCATCTTTGAATCGTTCTTTCGCAGATTCAGACTCGTTTGACACAATCTTTAGCTTTCCCATGACGTGAGAAAGTCCTAAGGCTTTGTTCAAGATATCTGCTGACTCATCACCTCTCGGCATTCTAGACGTTTCACCGCGATCATCCTGAGTTTTGCTTTGCACAGCTTTTTGCTCGTCCTTCCACTTATCCAGAGAAACAATCAGTAAATGTACTCCTTCCTGTAGAAAACTGTAGCTGCTGAGCAAATCTTTGCGCGAGAGACCGTCAATTTTGATTTTGACGTCGTTGAGTTCTCGCACGACTATTTCACGAATTCTTTCATCTGTAATATCACCGTCCTTCAGCTTTTTAGCAGTTGTATCTCGGGCTTTGTTCCACAGTAATCCCACAGTGGAACTTACTATACCTGTGACAATTGAGAACATGGTATTTAGACTTTACTATTATACCGAAATACACGTACGCTTGTCGTCTCGCTCGAAGGAGTTCTAGTTCCTGTTGTTGGAAAGACAAAAATATATATATAAAGCATATCTTGAAATTTGAACCTCTTAAATGCTACTTGCTGCATTGTGAGAGTCGGATGGCGCCCCACGGAGCGTTAAGACGCTGCCACTATAAAGCATAGAAACATGCAATTTTAAAAAGTCGTGCAAGTATACCACTAAAAAAGAGCGCGTTTGTTTTTTCGAAAATATTGATTCTTGAACGACTTGAAGGTTGCAGTTTGCCTGACAGTTTGCGCTAATACTTAAAATGAGTTTGCTATTTGCACTTCAATAATAAACATCGTATTAAATTGCAATGGAATTTCAATTCGTCTGATAATCGGATTGTGTGTGTGCAACAGAGCGTTTTGTCTTGTGAAAAATCATGATTTTCCAAGAAGCTTAGGGACAGACCATTAGAAAAGTGATTGTGGGGTGGGGGGAGGGGGGGTAAATTTTTTATGTTTGCATTTTTTTCCAGGTTGTCAGCTGTGTATGTATGTTTTTTTTTAAATATGTCTTCTCGCATTTTAAACAAGTCTGATGCATGTATTATTTTTTTCCAACCCTGTTTGCATGGATTTTTTCTGGGGGTTTTTCCCACCCTCCCCATCACTTTTCTAATGGTCCGTCCCTTACCGTTTGCGCGAATAGTCAACTAAAACCCAAGTTACCAAACATTGACGTTACATAATATATTTATGTTTTATTACATTAATTGCGGTGGAAATGTGGAATCATAAATTTTGTGTCACGATGTCTATATACTGTCATTTGATATGTGCTTGCAATCTGCGAGTACAAATTGTTCGTTGTCCGCTCAACTCTAAGAAAAATATGCGCACTTCACAGAATATTTCCACTCATAACTTTCGTTTGTACGAGATTCACCGGTTTTCTACCAGGCTGCGTCCACAATTTTGTCTCAACCACCAAAAATTGGAGTATAAGTTGCTAACCCTGTGTTATAGGATGAGAAGTGTGTCCACGTGAAAAAATGTCTGCCTGTGATTGGACCTTGGCTCAAAATCGCAGTCACATTTTACGAATATTTTCCAAACTTGAAATCATAAACTTGGCGGAATTCTCGGTTATCGCCGCAGGGGCTTCGGTGGCGCAGTCGTCAGGGTCAGAGTAAGCGCCTTTCACCTCTGAGTTCGTGAGTTCGATTCTCGCTGCGGACTCATGTGAAGAGTCAGTCAACGCTCTGCCGAAAGTCGTGTGTTTTCTCCGGGTGCTCCGGTTTCCTCCCACAGGGAAAGTTGACAGGGTGGGTTAGGATAAACACAGTTAAGAAAGTAATATCACAATTGTTGTAAAGAGAAAATAATCTAGGCTAAGTATACCGTATTTACTCGTTTAAGCGCCGCGGCGCTCTTTAAATTTTCAGAGCTTCAGCTGCGGCGCTCATTCGGGGCGGCGCTCAATCGGAGGCGGCGCTCGTTAAAAAATCTTTTATTTGTGAACTATAAAAAGAACTTTTAACAATAAAATAAACAAGTTTTAAAAGGATTTTGTCGCTAAATGTCCCCATTTTGACGGCGGAAAGTTTTTACACTGTTTAGTGAATTAGTGCGGCGCTCATTCGGGGGCGGCGCTCTTTAAAAAAAATTGATTTCAAATGTGGCGCTCATTCGGGGGCGGCGCTCAATCGGGGGCGGCGCTCAATCGAGTAAATACGGTATACTTGATTCAATGCGCATTTGACCATATCCACATCTAAATCTGCGCTATAGAAGACATAGAAATGCTAATCGCAAATCACATGATATACCAAATATTCAACTTAAATTTCAAATGTTTGAGACGCTTACATCTAGAAATAACGATCACTTCATCCTTAAACTTATAGACAAAGTTAGAAAAATCCAACATTCGTATAACCGGCCCCTGAAGTTGTGTGGTTATTATTTTCACGCGTGTGAGAAAAGTGTTTCTGCTGGTTTTCTCGTCGGGTACTTCGGTTTCTTGCTGTATAGTTAACACTGGACCACAGGGGGCCCCACTATGAGTTATGATTGAAATAATATTGTATTTATTTTTAAAAACCTACTTGAATCCCTTGATAATCGATTATTTCTTCTGGCTCTCACAGTCAATGAGTGGAGGTTCAATCTGAGCTCCTCTTAGTGTCAATGCTGTTTTTGAATAGCTGGAGGGTGAGTAGTCGCATAGGCCATAGTAAGGTATATGACACTAGCCCTCCAGCTATTCAAAAACAGCAATGACACTCGAGAGAAGCTCAGATTGAACTTCCACTCGTTGAGTGTGAGTGAGCTTTTAGAGTACGGGCTCTTCGT